ATTTTTTCTTTCTTTCTTTCATTGATTCACCTTTTACAGTTTATTAAATTAAGAAATATTTACCTCTCGTTAACTCCTTTCTTTCTTTCTTTATCCAATTTAATCTTTTATGATGTTTCCTTCTTTTTTTTCTCTTTTCCTTGGCTTCTTATCCATTGAAGAAAAGTAAAGAAAGCAATATTATATTATATTTATTTCATACCTTATTTTCACAACTAAACTCTTTTTTCCAATTCTTCTTCTCTTATTCTTTTCTCCTTACCATTTTTTAATTATTCGTTATCTTCTTCATTTTACTCATTTCTTCATTTTAAGCTGTTTCTTTTGAACCCTTTCTCCCTTTCAGCATTTCCGCTATTCTGAACAAAGTAAAAAATGTACGAAAACTCTATTTTAAAATGGGCACTTCTCAGAAGCCAACAAATTTGTATTCAACTATTATTTGATTATTAATAATTCTAAATTTAAGATATATTTTTTGTATTTAAGTAGAAAGTGTCAAGTTACACGTTTGCAATAATCTTAAATATCGCTTTTAGGTTTTCCCCAACCATATGAGAAATTAAACGACCCTAAAGGGATCTTTCTTCAATCTTGTTCGTTTTTTTTTTCTCCGCGTGTATACTCATCTTGATGTTGTTTGTTTAGCGGAATATTAAATTAAATTAAATGACCTTACGGATCATTTAATTTTCTTAGGAGCATTAGTAATTTTCTTTACAAATGTATTGCTGGCAATTTATTATTATTATTTTTACAAAAATGTATTTCTGGTAATTTTTTTTCATAAATTTATTGCTGGTATTTTTTTCTTCAAGAATGTATTGCTGGTAATTTTTTTTTACTAAGAAAATGTACATTCCTGATAGTGAAAATATAAATGTGCAAGATGGATTCTGGTGAATAAAATTATCTGACACGATATAATGAACCAACTTTCCTAACAGCAGACGTAGCAATTGATTCAATATAATCACTCCACTTCATTTCAATGGAAAAGGTGCGACCAAGAAGGTGAAATGTTGCTCTCCAGGAGATTAGCATCAGATAAAAATACACTCTCTCTTTATATATATATATATATATATATATATATATATATATATATATATATATATATATATATTATATCAAGAACAATATTGGGGAAAATGAACACAAAAGAGACATTTTACAAAACAATACATCAAATGCGTTGGTTGTCCACCGTAACGAGACTGACCACAATTTTGACATAAAAATTCTACTCTGATCAAAGGAGAAAATAATTCACTCGACGAAAATATCTAACGACTGCCTTGATCGCAATGTCATCTGCAGTAAATTTGCACTCGGCCTCTTACAACATTTCCCCATACATGGTAGAAATTCTGTTATCACAGTGTGGGATATCTACTAAGGAAAGTGAGGGGAAAAAATAAAAGAATCTAAATGAAATCAGCTAGATATAACAAAAACACATCAATCTAAGATTCCCAGGATTCCTGGTTTGTGCGCATGTGTAGTCGCACCACCATAACAAATTTAATCCGATGAATTCAAAAAGGACGAAACACGTCACAAGAAAACATTTTCCACTTTTCATATATATATATATATATATATATATATATATATATTGAACAATAAAAAATATTAAAAAATTAAAATCTTCAGACACACTAGGTTGTATATTAATATTCTTTCGTTTTTATTATTATGTCAGTTAGATTCCTCGACTAGTTTCGGCCAACATGGCCATCATCAGAAGAAAAAAAAATTCTGCTTGCTGGTAGCAGTGAACTACAGAAATGAATGTCTTGATGGAGAAAATGAACTTTTGTTTGTAGTTTTCATTTTTTTTTTTTTAACATAAATTGTGGTCAGGCCTTGCGTTGGTCAAACAGTCTCTTTTAAATTGTTATTTAAGATAAGAGCTGGATGGATTCATGCTGCTCTGAATTCCCTTGGTCATTTTGACAGTTTTATTGGTTCCTGGATAGGCGATGTGTCTCTGTTAAGTGCGTGTGTTATTTGGTTCTTAGGGAGTGAGTGAGTATGATATGTGTATGCGTGTATATTACTATGGGTGTGTGTTACCATTTGGTTCATTAGGGAGTGTGTATATTCGTGTGGGTGTGTGCATAAGTGTGAGGCCTCAACACCTCCGTAAGCATGTCTGTCTTGTGTGGGTGAGAAATGTGGGTAGGTCCTGATTTGTGGGGTTATAAATACTATCTATATTGTTAAATTTGTAATTAAGCCCGTCTGAAGAGTGCGTTTTTAAACTTCGTAGCCACTTATTTTCATGGAACTCTAAAATCTTTCTAATATTATCTGCTCTGAACTTTTCTATTCTCTCAATTATAGTGAATTTGGCATATATATATATATATATATATATATATATATATATATATATATATATATATATATATATATATATTCAACAATATTGATGTACTGTTGTTTTGTTATTTCAGATCTATTATATAGTATCAAACATCGAGGAGCAAGACTATCGTTAGTTTCTTCTTTCTTCTATGCGCCGTGTCCCTTAAGAACGTTGGCGATCGTGGCTCTCCACAATTTCCTATCCTTTGTGGCCCTTAGTAAAAGTAAAGTTTCTATCTCTTGTAATCCTCGTTCTTCTAAGCATTTACACAAGCTCGCTAGGTAGGTCATGCATTTTTTCCTCAGTCCCTCTTGCCTTCCATATGAGTATCAAATTTTCCGAGCCCGATTTTCTCATTATGTGCTCTAGAAATCTCAACTGATTTTAAATAACAGTTCAGTACTCTTTTCTTTGTTACTAACGATGTTTTTTTTTGTATTTCTTATTAAGGTTTTCGAAACTGATTTTGATCAGAAACAAATGCCAAGAATGATAACATTCTTTTTTTTTGTTACTCTTAATTGTTAATTTGCCAAAATTCAATACGCGTCATATCTATGATCCGGCCTTTCAATATTGGAGCTAGGATATGAAATTCTTCTGCATAAGGCGCATTCTTCAGACTTATCACCAGACTAGCATTCTTTTTTTTTTTTTACTTCTGTTCATTTCTGAAATTTGAAAATACCGAAAAATTGCTCAAAGAATTAATGAAATCAGAACTATATGTGTTCGAATTCCAGTTGGGTTCGTTATATTCACTTACGCGCAAATACGCTTGAGAAAGGTATGAATCCCTCTCTTCTTTTCCCAGCCATGGGTTAAATAGCAGAAGAGACTTGGTCTTATAGCCTTGGTTGGCAACTAGTCTGCCGCAAAAAAAAATAACGGCAACTTACTGAGGGAAAATCTCTTCATGACTCGAAAGTGACATGATCGGCCAACCGTGTATCACGTATGGCACTTAACTGACAGAAGAAATTTAACAAAAGACATTAGTAGATAAAAGCGTTGATTAAAACATATCTGGTTCCCTGGAAGACGTGAGTTCAATCCCTGGGTCAGACAGTACTGAAAAGTTCTATACTCTGGTTCAGTTGAAGAACCGGACAAGTGATACAAAAGAGAAGACTATGAATTATTAATTAAAAAGAGTTCCGATTAACTGATACATAGAGAGCAGAATGAGAGCACTCTACCCCCATCGATTGATTAAAGCAGTCTTTCTTGGTGGACGGTAACACAACCTTTGGGGCACTGTGAACTCTCAGGGACACTGTGGGGGACGCTATAATTTTGACAGTTCACTAAGGTTAAGTCTTTTATCACTTGCGCGACTAGCGTAACGGTGATTGGCCCGGAAAGTATAATCGGCGAGCCGAGTTCAAATTCCGTTCTAGTCTGCTGCGTTCACTTTCGTACTAATGAGTTTGCATGGAACAAAACCCTGTAAATCAAAGTCCGGAAGAAACTTACTTCCGGCGGTGAACACGTGACGTTAAGTCTGTTCCACTTATCAGTGTAGTTTTAGCACAATGGAGCGGGGTGTGGAGGTGGGGTGTTTGGGCATCTCGCGCAAATAGCTGAAAAGGGAGCGTGGGAAGGAAAAAAGTTAAGAAACTGGAAAGAGCGAGAACAGCTAGCAGACTTGAGAAAATTTTCTGAAAAAAATTTTTTAATTGAAATATTTTATAAAGGGTTCTGTTCAAAATTCCTGAAAAGCTTACCGAGTATAAGAAACATCTGAAGAAAGTCGGGACGTAGAACGGCTGAAACGTTGTGAGAATAAAAACAAAGGTGTGCATGGTTGTCCAAATGGGATTGATTTATTGATTGATTGCGGTCGTTAAGACCACGGAGTCAGTGTAAACTTTACGAACTTTTCGTTAGTTTTTTTTTAATCATTTCACCGCAAGCAGGACGATAATATCACCAAGAGGCAAGGGGTTACTGGAAGTGAAAGAGAATGAAATGACATCAGTGAAGAGGAAGGACAATAAAAGAACAGCATTCAGGAAGATGGCGATTTTGGTTGCATTAAATAGTTACATTGTGCTTCTCCAATGCTACACACGGTTTCGAGTTCAGAGTTACTCTTCTCCTAGACATATTGCCAACCAAGGCTGAATATTCAAATCTACTTTACTATTTAACCCATAGTTGGGGAAATAGATGGGTTCATACCTTTTCAAGGGGTATTTATGTGAAAGTGAATGATAAAAATCGACTCGAATTCGAACTCTGCTCTCCGATTTCAAATTCTGAGTTGTTATCCATTATGCATAAATAAATAAATTTTAAAAAAATGATAAAATTCCGGTAAAAATTATAGTATTTTGTTAATCTTAATATCACTTATTTCTTATTGCAACTTCCCAAACCACCATTCTAAGACTGTTAACAAACAACATAGATTGGAAATAATGATTGAGTAATCAGCAAGACTCTAACTCTCACCCACAAACCAGGAAACCCGTTTTGGTGCGACATCCGCTTTATTGGCTGAGACAAAACAGTTAAATGGCAACTGATATCTAATAGTCCATCTATAAAACTTTCGTCTTTATTTTTCCGCGAAACAATTCCGAGCCATTATCCATTACACCACTCGCACATTTGAGCTTAAGGCACTTGACTTTCCCAAGCGGTCACCCATCTAGGTACTAGACCAGGCTCGAGGTTGCTTAACTTCAAAGATATTACGGGAACCAATGTTTCAATGTAATATAACCGTAAGCCTTGTTTTTTGTTGTATTGCTATAATTGTATAAAAAAATATGTTCATGTGATACCAACACCGCAAATTGCTACTAAACCGAATCATGCATCTGAAAACTCGAGTCATGTTCTTAAATAACGTCGTCAGATCGAGGCTTTCTTATGGCTGCCATGCATGGGCAAGAGTCGTTCAGAAATATCTAAATTGTCAGCTGTATACAACTGCTTTCTCAAATCAATGGTTAAATATGGTTTTCAGTGAGTAAAGCCTGTGGGTCTTGGTGAGGACCATCCTTTTTCGAACCTTGTGGACTGGCGCTACAGAATCAAAAAGAAAGATCTGTGCCAAACAACAGAAACCACAGCACTTGGGAACTTTCAACAGCAGCAACAACTAAAATGGATAGTGCATGTAACTCGAAGTGAAAACAATGACATAATGTTGATATTTCACACTACTTCAAATAAAAGATTAGGAAGAAAACTCCCATCAGCACTGGAAAGAGCGAGAACAGCTAGCAGACTTGAGAAACCTATTTTCTGAAAAAAATTTTTTAATTGAAATATTTTATAAATTTCAACCGACAGTAGTACTGACTGCTTGATCAATGAATGCCGAATGCTTCGATGTGGGGAAAAGGTTAATTACCAGATATTGTAAAAACTAAAGTTCCTTCAGATAAAATATAACAAATAAAAGACAGTTTTCTCGTAGAAGTAACATAATCTATCATATATATTGTCTTTTTTTTTTAATCATTTCACTCCAAGTAAGACAACAAAGCCACTAAGACGCAGGGCGCTACTAAGTGTAAAAAATATAAGAAAAAGGGAAACATTATTAAGGAGGGAGAACAATAAAAGAACAGGAATTAAAAAGACAATAGATAACGATTCAATTTTTGAAGATCAAAATTGACTGGAAAGCAAGAAGCCGGAAGAGAGTTCCACAAGCGGAAAGTGCAAGAGAAGAAACTGTTAGCATAGAACTTACGGTTACATCTAGCTATTTCAACTGTAAAATGATGAGATCTTGACGCCAATCTAGTACTGCCCTTAAATTCATAGAATCTAGGTACAATATAGGAAAGTCCATCAGAACAATTACCATGAAAGCATAAAAAAGACAGAGGGATGCTACATTACGGTGGTGAGAAAGTGACTGAAGCCGAGATATTAGATCAGGACCAATGACATTGTTGATTCTTCTTGATTTGTGTTTTTGAATTTGTAGGTCTAGTTTTAGGAGGGACGGTGGAGTGATGGATAGTGGCTTGTATTGAGGAATCGGAGAGCCGAGTTCGAATTCTAGTCGAATCCATTACATTTTCTTACGTGCTAATACCCTGGATGAATCCGCTTCTTCTCCCCCTCAGATATAGGTAAATAGCAGGACAGACCGGGTTCTATAGACTTGGATGGTAACTGGTCTACCGCAGAAAGAAATGGCAACCTACTGCGGTAAAAAATCTGCCTCGTCAGTCATGTATCGAAAGATACATGATCGTCTAAACGTGTATCACGCATGGCACATAACTGAGGTCTAGTTCGCACTTTGGTAGAGTAAAGATGTTTAGATAAGGCCTAATTCTGGTACTTTTCCAGGGCGCCACTTTCCATAGATACGTTTCTTCATCTCCCGTGACAATCGTTTACAGGTCGATAGTAGAAAGTAAATTTTCTTTCTGTTGTCTATTTCTCTTTCTGCATGGTCTCAGGACCTAACTGGATATTTGCCGCCATGTAAAAAAAAAAAAAAAAGTAAGAAATTAATAATTCCACAAAAAACCTAAGTCGGAACATTATGGAGAAATGACGGTGGAGGATTTTTACGTATAAAAAAGAAAGAAAGTTTCTAAAGCAGACGATTGTCACCGGAGATCTGAATTTTAAATGTGGTTAATCGATCGGTGATGTTTTGACATTAAAAATTAATTTATGATAAATGTTCACTAAGAAATTTGATAGCGCTTACTTTTGTTGTCATCTGTGAAAGTCCAGCACCGTTTTACCTTCAAGCTAAGTTCTTCCCATGAAAGATGATAAAGGCACGTCAATCAACACATCACCTTTAATACGGTAAGTGTCAGAAAAACGAACAGAGAGGTCAGAAGACCTCTACAACCGTCGGCTTTTTGTTTTCTCTCTCCTCCTGCATTCTTAGACAATGACTCAGCGTTGTTAAACAGGAAACGAATATGTCGGATGAACGAAACAGTAACGAGACGAGAATGAGTGAGATTTGACAAAAAAGAAAAAAAGACTGTCATTTATTGGCCGTTCACATTCAAACAAAAACGGATTTATTATTAATTTTTGTTAAATTAAAGAGTAAATGTACAGGATGCAATTGAGCCAAAAACGTTGAAAGAAACAAATTGAGAAAATAGTAAAACTCTCGTAGATATTTCTATGTGATAAAGATTAAATCTATTTCTTTTTAAAATATTAGCGGTTTTATTATTCGAGCAGGTATTTCCCAAAATGGCGGTGAAAGCTCGTCTTCGTCTCGACTGACATGGCCGCTGGGCGTGAGAAATGGCCTGAGTGACGTCAGCAACTAAGTTGGCAAAACAAGTTCTGAGATTTTTTTGTCGTTCTTTGCAATGTGAAGAATGTTGCAATGTAAGCTCTCATCGCCATTCGCATTAGTTATATATATATATATATATATATATATATATATATATATATATATATATATATATATATATATATATATATATATATATATATATATATCCTGCTGGAGAAAGTATATTTTCTAAAAAGATTTCTCGGATATTCAGGCCCTTAGATGAAAATAAAATAAATATACTGTTTAATAAATAAACAGGGCGTCTACTCAAATATCGGTATCCACTAAAAATAACATTTAAGCAATATCATAAAAATATGTCGGATTAACAAACGAAAAATCCATTCCTTTGCTTGGCCATTAAGTTCTCTGTAGTCGAGAGATGTTATGGTTGTATCCTATAGGGGAACGTAGGTTCGAATCCTGATGGAGGATGTATGTTTTTCATATAATTTTCCGTGAATATTCAGGCCAGGTAGATGGAAATAAAATAAATATATGCTTTAATATGTAAACAGGGCGTCTACTCAAATATCGGTATCCACTAAAAATAACGTTTAACACGTTGGCACCCTAGCCTCATTTCCCTTGTCCCAGGGTCCTAACTGTGTTAGCATACCTACGGACAATATTGGGTATGCCCCAATTCCCATAAACACAGTAGTGAATACTGTACGTGTCTAGAGTCGGGGATTCCTTGTGAAATCCACTTAATTCACTTCTAGCAATTGACTACTACTTCTACGCGCCGCTGGCGTATCTTATATGTGTTGTTCTTGTCATAAGTATTATTGTTCATTACCAACCTTCGTTTGATTATTCTATTCAGTAACCTTCTTTAGGTTACAATACTAATACTATATCTTAATTAATTTTGGTACAAGTGACTTTATGTAATTAACATTGATTCATATATGAGGCAAAGGTATCTTAGGTAATATTTATTATCCACGACCCAGCAAGTGTGTCTTTCGGTACCTGAGTCCATTTTACAACCCAGGGCCCCAAACGATCCACCCGTGGGTCGTTGGAAACTTGCCAATATAGAAATATTACATTGACACTAAATCTCATTTTCCATATTCAAACTTTTTTTTTTTTTTTTGAAAAACGTGGTTCTGGTGCACCGTGATCTCATAAGCAGTCAGCCATAACATCTCAGTCCCAATAATCATCATAGAAAACAAATTGGAAAACAACCACTGGAGGGTCGCGTGGGCCTTGCAGACATATCACCAGGCGAGCCAACGTGTTAAGCAATAATATATATATATATATATATACATATAGATTAACCACTAAGACACAAGGGGTTATATGGTGTAGAAGAATTAGGAACAAAAATATTAATAATGAACGGGAAGAAGAAAGAATAATCAGGAGGACAGTAGATAGCCATTGACATTGCATTTAAATTTTTGCGGGTTAAAGTTGGCTGGAAAGTATGGAGCCGTAAAGGGAGATCCACAAGCGAGAAGTGCAAGAAAAGAAACAGCATAGAATTTACAGTTACAGCTAGCCAGCTCAACTGTAAATTGATGAGACCTTGCCGCCAAATTTAGTACTGTGCTTAAATTAAAAAAGTCTATGTACGATAGCGAAGAACTCATCGCAACAATTACCATGAAAGTATTTGTAGAAAATACACGGGGAAACAACTTTTCGGTGATGGGGAAGTGGCTGAAACCAAGATGCCAAATAATATTGCTGATTCTTCTTTGGATTTTATCAAGGAGATAAATAACAGGGCCGCTGGAACATATGTGACAGCAATATTCTAAGCTTGAACGAATGGTAGACTTAAAGATATGTAAAAGATTCTGGAGAGAACTAGCAATAGATTCAATATAGTCTTTCCACTTCAAGTCAGCTGAGAGCGTTAGCCTGAGGAGGTGCAACAAACAAACACACACACACACACACACACACACACACACATATATATATATATATATATATATATATATATATATATATATATATATATATATATATATATATATATATATATATATATATATATATATATGTCATTTAGGTGGTTATTTTATTACTTCCAAAATAAGGAACAGATAATGACAAGAGAATATAACACAGTTTAATGGACACTGACTTCTGCATACTACTGTGGATTTGTGGCGAAAAACAATTCATTGAATATAATTTTCCGTATAATTCCGCGTATAAGACGACCTTTAAATATAAAAAATCACCCTTAAAAAATTGGCGGTCGTTTTAAACTACAATTCTAAAAAAGAAACCTTAAATTCTGAGTTTTGTTTGTCGGGAGGCTAAACTTGGCCTCGGTGCGATAACCAATAACATACATAAAGATTCACATCATCAAATAAACTGATAATAAAAGTAATAAAACCATTTCTATTAGTGGCATAACTGCATAATAAATTGTCTATTCGAAGAATAATTCCATATCAATG